ATATATGACAAATGCTTAAATCCAGAATATGTATATAAAGAATTTCTTTAAATCAGTATCTGTAATCTTTTTCTTTAAAGGGCCATATAGTAGATATTTTAGGCTTTGTGGACATTGTCATCTCAGTAGCCACCAGTACTTAACTCTGCCAGTGCAGGGCAAGGGCAGCCATAGAAAATACATAAAGAAATGGATTGTGCTGTGTTCCGATAAAGCTTCATGTACAAAAACAGATGGTGGGCTGAATTTGGCTGATCCCTACTTTAAATCAATAACAAAAAGTCAAACAACACAATAAAACCAGGCAAAAGACTTGAACAGACACTTTTCAAAAGAAGATAAACAAAGAGCCAATAGGTACATAAAAAGATGCTTAACATTGTTAGCCATCAGGAAAATGCAAATTGAAAATACCATGAGATATCACTACATGCTTACTAGAAGGGCTCCCATTTTAAAGGTGAACCATATCAAGTGCTGGTGAGGAGGTGAAACAGCTAGAAGTCTCAGCCATTGCTGGTGGGATATAAATGCTGCAGCCACTTGGGAAAAAGTTTGGTGCTTCTTATAAAGCTAAGCATACACTTTCCATATGACCCAACAATTCAACTTTTAGGTAGTTATTTGGAGAAATGAAAATGTATGTCCCTAAAAAGACATATACGAATGTTGCTAGCAGCTTTTTAAAAATTATGATGATGATGCATCTTTTTTTAACTGAAGTATAGTTGATTTACAGTGTTTCAGGTATACAGCAAAGTGATTCGGCTATACACACATATATATGTATGTATATAAATATATTATTTTTTAGGTTTCCATTATAGGTTATTACAAGATATTGAATATAGTTCCCTGTGCTGTACAGTAGGTCATGGATAGCAGCTTTATTTTTAATAGCTCAAAACTGTAAACAACTCAAATGGCAATCAACAGGAGACTAGACAAACAAGTGGTAGTATATTCATACAGTGGAATAGTACTCAGCAGTTAAAGGAATGATCTGCTTATACATGTGACAGCTGAGTGTAAGAAGCTGGACACAGAAGAGTGCATACTATGTGATTCCATTTAAATGGGATTAGACAAGAGTCAAAACTAATGTTTAGTTATAGAAATCAGATTAATAGTGCCTATAAAGGCATGGAGATTGATTGGAAGGGGGCATGAGGGAACTTTCTGGGGTAAAAAAGCTGTTCTGCACCTTGAAAGGGCTGGTGGTTACATTGACATATGTATTTGTCAAAAGCCACTAACTGTATGTTTAAGATCTGTACATTTCACTATATGTAAATTTTACCTCAGTAAAAATAAGAGGAACCTCTTATATTCTAACATGAGCAGAGCTACAAGATGTATTAAGTTAAAAAAAAAAAGCAAACTATAAAGCAGTATGCAGTGTACCACCCTTTCCATAAAAAGGAAATATCATGTGTGACTTAGATGTTTATATACATATAAGTATGTATACGTGTGTGTGTGTATATTTGCTTGTATAATCATTACATCAAACATAACCTATAGGATGTAGTTAGAAAGCTACTCTAGTTTTGTTTGTTTGTTTGTTTGTTTGTCTCTTTAAATTTATTCAGCCAGACTAGTTTTTTCTCTGCCCCTGAATGAAAGCACCGTTCCCAAGACTTCTCTGGTTAGTTTTAGGTATTAAGGACTCAGTCACTTTAAGTGGTAAAAGACACGTTCAATTCAGGAATTAAAATGTTCAGCGCAGTGTGACAGACTTCAAACTTGACCAGAAGTTGAAGCTTCTCCGTCCCCCAGGTTGGGTCAGGAGCAGGGGGACGGCTTGGGTCAGGGGAGGTGCAATCCTCTGCTTCTCTCTCCTCTCCTACTTCCTCACCCCTTCCTTTCCCAGCTTTGCTAAAACGGGCTTCTGACTCTTGGGGCTGGCACACCAAAAGCGAAGAGAAGACAGAAGGAGCCAGGAGCACTTTTACTCGACTAGTACTGATTCTAGGATGAGTCTTCTGGGCTTGGGAGGTGTTCCAGCCAGCTTTCTCCATGAAGCACTTTTCGGGTTATTTGGAAAGTTCCACCAGTGGGCTTTCTCACCAGCAGTGCCCCTTACATGGTCGAGTGCATCTCTGCTCTGGCTGATCATTTCCCTGTTCCTCTGGTCGGGCCTTCCTTCCCCTTTCCCGACGCACTGAGCAGCTACCCACAGCTTCTTTCCGCTGAGGTTCCCACAGTCGTCCATGTAGCCATCCTGGACGCCAGCCCCACCCCATTCTCAGGGCTCAGATGGGTTAAGGTCTGTAAAGCCTCTGAGTTTTCCAGGAAACACTTCTCATCTGACTTAGGAGTAGTATCCCTCACCCTAAGGGACAGCGATAGATTCACATGGCAGTTCTCTCTCTCAAAACAAAAACAAAAACATCTCTTTAGAATTGCTCTTGTACATGAGTCTATGCACTTGCCAACACCTGTATGTTGGCAGTCAACTGTATCCAAATAAAAAATACAATCAACCAAGGTATCAGGAGATCTCAGGATAAAATGTAGACTACAACAAATGAATTTAACTTATTATAAATGTATGACATAACCTAACTGAAGGGGGTAGAGAGAAAAGGAGCTGGCCTAAGTAACTTTGGGAAATAACCCTGTGACTACATACTGTAAGCTAAAGCCAAGAAAAAAAAACCACCAAAAAATTTAAAATACTGTACATAAACACTGTGCTCTAGTTGGTAAATTTGTTTCTTACAGGGTACTATTTAGCAGTTTTGAAGCTATGTACTAGGGTCGATGATAAAGTAAATATCCATGAGTCCATACTTATATAAATAAATGACTGATTAAGTAAATAAATGGGAGAAAGGGGATAAATCTTTACAGAGGATCTCAGATAATGTGTGTAGATATTCCTCCTCCAGGAGGTGGAACTTAATTTCCCTCTTCTTGAGAGCAGGCTGGATTTAGTGAATCACTTCTAAAGAACAGAGTGTAGAAAGAGAAAAATAGTCACATTCCAGTGGAGAAAACTGGCAGGTACTAGCCACCTTAACCAAGCGATTTCGGGCAACTTCAGCAGTGGTGTCATGTTGCTGTCGTGTCCCCTGATGTGATCCTCTGAGAATAGCTCTTCACCTCTGTGGTTTTCTTCCTATAAACCCATAACTGCAGCCTAATCATGAGAAAATGTGAGGGTCATTCTATAGCTTGAAGGACATTTTATAAAATACCTGACCGTGAATCTTCAAAAGTGTCAAGGTTATGAGAAATAGGGAAAAACTAAGAAACTGTCACAAACCAAGAGAGACACAACAAATAAATGCAGTGTGGTATCCCAGAACAGAAAAAGGAATTGGTGGAAAATGGTGACTTCCAAATAAAGACTGTGGTTTAGTTAATAGTGTAGCACCAATGTTTTTTTTGGTTTTGTTTTGTTTTGTTTTTTGCGGTACGCGGGCCGCTCACTGTTGTGGCCTCTCCCGCTGTGGAGCGCAGGCTCCAGACGCGCAGGCCGGGCCCAGCCGCTCCGTGGCATGTGGGATCTTCCCAGACCGGGGCACGAACCCGTGTCCCCTGCATCGGCAGGCGGACTCTCAACCACTGCGCCACCAGGGAAGCCCACCAATGTTGATTTCTTAATTTTCACAAATGTACCATGGCTATGTCAGATGTTAACATTAGGTAGAGGTGAGTGAAGGTACATGGAAACTCTCTGTACCATGTTTGCAATTTTTCAGTAACACTAAAGTTATTCCAAAATTAAAAGTTTATTTTATAAAATGCTCTTCTAATCTCCAACTTCCAACACTATTATATTCAGTGTGGGTGAAGGTTTAAGAGAATAACCAGTTTTCTCCTACCTCTCTTTTGACAAGCCCTGCTTGGTGGGGTCTGACATCTAATTTGGGGATATAATTTTTGTTATCTTTGAGCCTCAGCAGCAGTCTCCTATTTAAATTTCCTATTATGTTCGTGTATGCTAAAACTGTCTCTAGAATGATATACAAGAAACCAAAACAACAGTTGCCTGTGAGGAAATGTATTTCCGTGGCTCAAGGAGAAGAAAGTGCAGTTTCTCACAGTTTATCCTATCGCACCTTTTGGAATCTGAGCTGTGTGAATGTATCACACTTGCAAAATTTTTAATTTAAAAAAAACAACGGCTCGGTTGTATTACTCTTCTCTTAAATCACCATTCAGTGACTCGGGAACTCTCATATACTGTTGTGACTCCTGAGAAAGATCCTTCTGTATGTTCTGTGTTGAGCTTCACTGGGGTTTCAGAAGCCATTTTGCCTTCATGGCAATGCAATGTTGGTGACTGCCTAATGTTTTAGCGACTTGTCAGATAATTTGGCACTTCTTGGGTCAGGATTATTTCCACTGTTTGGGGCCCACAGAAGGAAGGAAGAGCAGGATGCTGTGAAGGTATGCATGGCTTCATTAAGATTCATTAGGATGAACATTCCTGGGCATTTTTCCATTTCAGGAAGGGCCCCAAAAGAGGTCAGCTTTCTCATCTACCCAAGGCAGTTATCAACCACAGCTTCATTCATACATTTATCACTCATTTATTAAGCACTCACTCTGTTTGTAACAAAACTCTCAAGGCTTTTACGTCTTCTTAAAGAGGATAGAAATAAAGCTGGTGGTTTCATTAGTACAGCTTTTGACTGAGCCAGTCCTTATCTCTAATAATTCCTAAAAGAAATGTGATTCTTGCATTGGAGTTGGTACTTTGTTATCCAGGAAGGGCCAAGACGTGAGAGTCAGCAATGTCACTCTCCAAGATTAGGTTCCTGGTGTCTATGGGTCTCCATAATCAGTTTCCCATCCGGGCATCAGCTGAACACTGTGGCAGCACAGATGCCTGGCTTTGTAAGGTGTAGACTGCAAACAAGATGTTAAACTTCTTTTTATTATTGTAGATCTTATACATTTTGGTTGCTGAGAATTTTAAATAAACATCATTTTTTAAGATAAGTAATTAAGTAAACATCTTTGCCACTTATTCTTTTCTTTTTTAGCAAGTCTTTTCCCTTGTTTAATCGATGCATCCCTCAAACTCCTGAGTGTTATTCCCTGTTTGCATCTGTTTTGATCAATGATGTTGACGCCCTCCATCGAATTCTAAGTGGAATAATGTCAGGAAGAGACACAATCCTCGGTCTCTGTGTCCTCGCCTTCGGTAATTTTCAATTAGTTTTATTTCAGTGACTATTTATACTAAAGTTTCTAGCACTTATGTATGTTGTACAGTGGAAATTAGCCTCTTGACTTAAATATAAAACTTCACTTCATATATTTTCTTTGTAGTTATTTTCAGTGTTTCAGGTTCAAGTGGAGCAGGGGGCAGTAAGACCGGGGGAAAGGCCAGCTGGCTCTCTGCCCCGAGGCCTCACTAGGTGGGGCTGCCTTAGAGAGTGACCATGTTCCAGGGCCTTCCCCTCAGCTCTGCATAAGGACGGATGTGCAGAGAAGATTGCCACTTAGTGAACTGGCCATGATAAGTACCAGGAACGCATGTCCTCTGGCCCGTGTGCCCTCTTCCCCTAGGCAAGGCCGATCACAGGGCTGCTTGGTGAGCAAGGGAAGGAGGTGTGTGCAATCATGTTAAATAGCATCAGAGGGCATTGGCCTGATGTATCCAGCTCCTCCTAGGAACAGACCTGCTGGGTTGTAGGAGGGTCAAGGTCTTGAGCCAGATCATGCCTTTTCCCGGCCTTTCTGGAAGCAGCCCCCCAGGTGCTCATGACCGTTTGACTTCCCATTTGCTATTTCAGCTCGATGAGCCCCTTTAAGAGTCGACCTTCTCTTTGAACGAATTAGTGCTCTCTGCTGCTGTAGGCAATAGTAATGGCCTCTTATTTACACCGTTATTTACAACGGCTGCCTCCCAACCTTGGAAGGTTGAAAGAAACTCTTTGATCAGCCATTAACATAATTTTGCCAGTTTACAGATTGAGTTTTCCATAATTTCATTACCTAAAGGTTACTAATTCCTAAATGCTTGGGGATGCTTAACTAGCCACCGTTATGTAACTTCCAGACTTCTTATGACCCAGATGTGCCAGACATCCTGCTTGCTGTTAACACATTAAACCTCATCAGAACCCTATCACCGTTTGTGGGAGAGGAAACTGAGGCTTAGAGAGGTCTGAGGCTTGGCCAAGCAGAGGTGCAGAGCTGAGACTCAGCCCAGACCTATCTGATTCTAAACCCATGTTCTTAACCACTACACCCAAATATCTATATGTAATCTTGAATTCTTGTTTAGAAAAAAAAGTAATATAGTATTTATAAATTCACTAAAGTACTTAGAATAAATTCATAGGCTTAAAAACCCCCAAGTTGGAAACTGATGTGCAGATTTTTATACATACATCTTATAATTATAATCTTAAATTTTTCATTTTTAAAGGCATTCATCTTTCATATTTAATGAGAGTATCTGAGAACACAAAATTAGAACTTTAGATAAGTTATGAAATCAAAAGAGTTAAGTTTGATAAAAAATTTTAGATGGTTCATTTGGACTTAAAAAAAAAAGTTTAGGGTTTTGGGGAATAATACCTGCTTTAAAAGAAATTTTTTTTAATTCAAGAAGAATGCTAGCACTTTCGGGAAGTGGCACTGTCACAGACCTAACTTGTGTATGCTTCAGAGAGGGGCCTGGGTGTGTCTTGTTTTTTTGTTTGGTAGATGTCCAAGATATTTAGAGATTGAAGGAAGTCCTCAGCACTCACTCTTTTGGAAGGTTTAGGCATTCCAGCCCCATCATCATCCCCTTCATGCCTTGGTGGTTGTTAGAATTTATATGTTTTTGCTTAATTTTCTAGCCTTGTCTTTGGCCGTGATGTTCACCTTCCGATTCATCACCACCCTTCTGGTTCACATTTTCATTGCACTGATTGTTTTGGGATTGCTGTGTAAGTATTTCCACTTGATTGATTTCTTCTTGATTAAATGAAAAGCCTTTCCATTAAGTGTAGAACTTAAAAGCTGGCATTGCTGAGCTACATGGCATCTTAGAGAGTCTCTCGTCCAACTCCCTCATGTTACATATGAGGAGACCCAGGCCCAGAGAGGTCAGGGAGGACCACAGGATTGCTTCTGTCTCACAGATCACAGCAGAGTTCCTGCTCAGCCTTCTGTCTCTTCTGCACTGTGCCGCCTCTCAGATGAGCCGGCCAGGTGAGTGGTACTGGTTTCCACACCATTAAAAGTCAGTTCCAATGCCTGTTGGAAGCCCTTTAAAGCAGAGGTCCCCAACCCCCGGTCCGAGGCCTGTTAGGAACCGGGCTGCACAGCAGGAGACGACTGAGCGAAGCTTCATCTGCCGCTCTCCATCCCCCCCCATCGCTCGCATTACAGCCTGAACCATCCCCCCACCTCCCACCCTGTGCGTGGAAAAAGTGTCTTCCACAAAACCGGTCCCTGGTGCCAAAAAGGTTGGGGACCGTTGCTTTAAAGGATGTCTTCTGAATTTTCACATCACCCGTGGGTACGCACATTGTCATGCAAAGGCTCCGGCCAATCTGAAGAGACGCAGGCCCTGAACTGGGTCAGGGTCCCGGAGACCCTGCCCGGTGCCCACTGTTTTCCTTTTCAGTGCTGGATCCTGGATCCATCTAGAAGTTGTTGGGGAATAAAGTCCGAGGGGCAGAGGCATGCAGGGAACTCAAGGCAGCAGCTGTTTCTGAACTAGTATAGGATATTTTAATTTTTAATAATTAGCATGACCAAATAAATAAATAATTGGCATGACTGTAGGTGTTTCATCCCCTAAACAATCAGTTCTGCAGATCAGAGGTGCCCAGCGTGCAGGTGCTGGAGGACACGCACTATGGCTTGAGAGGGTGCCTTCCCCACCTACAGCTAGTAAAGACGACTGTGACCTCCCTGTTGTCACTGTGGATGCGCTGCAGGTGGCACTTACTACCTAAATGCAGAGCATTTGCAATGTCGAGGCATCTGCCCAGTTTTGTAGGTGCCAAGCAAATATCCAGACTGCCCCTGGCGTTGTCACCCGCAGAGCTCATTCGGAAATTTTAGACTTTAGACTCTAATATTGTTCCTCTCACCATCCCATCAGTGTGGTTTCCTCCCTGCTCACACCCAGCCCCACCCATGGGCTAGGCTGACAGGACACGTCTGTGTTCCGGAGTCACCTCCCTGCGTCTCCCAGAGACAGGCAGCCACCCCCGGTCTGGCAGGTCCTCAGCTGCCCCATTCAGCTGCTTCAGAGGGCCGGTCATTGCCTGCAAGGCCCCAGGGGTTTGGGACCCACTGCCTGAGCAGGGCCGCCTGGTGTGAAGGGAGGGGCGGGTGCTTACCTCATGGCATGCGCGCTGAGTTCTGCTGGTGTTCTGCTTTCCAGTTGTCTGTGGTGTCTTATGGTGGCTGTATTATGACTACACTAATGACCTCAGCACAGAACTGGACACAGAAAGGGAGAACATGAAGTGTTTGCTGGGGTTTGCTGTTGTGTCTACAGTTATCACGGTAAGAAGCACCCTTCCAGCAGTAGATCAAGTAGCTGGCCAGAACTCTGAAATCCAAATAATTAGATTTTAACCAAAAAACAACGAGCACTTGTTTTTCTTTCACTGCAGAATGTATATACATGTTAGTGTAGTGAGTGTACATACACGTCTAGTGCCTTTGTGTTTCATTTGAGATACCTACATAGGAATGCATTGCAGCCTTCAAAAACATGAGTAAACGCTCTGACATCGTTCTGTCACGTCTGCCATCTCAGAGGTTGGTTCGTTACCCTTGCTGACTCATTACCCTTGAACACAGTAGAACCGCTTGCACCCACAGGCGGCTATAGGGACGCCGCAGCGCGGAGAGGGAGCCAGACATACAACAGTTCCCATTTCCTGGTTTGCGGAGAGTCGCCACCCCTCTAGCCAGTGGATGCTCTGCTCTCAAGGCTGTGACAACTTGCACTGCCCTTGAACACAGAGAGCCCTTTGTTTCCAGACGTGCGGCTGCTAGGCTAAGTTGGTTTGAGAGAACCGCCGCCTCCTTGGTGAATTCCCTAGTTGAGAGCAGGCAAACAGAGAGCATTGAGCCTGGAGATTCTGGTCGTTGGGGGAGGGTGGTTGGCAACTGAAAATCATTCTGGTCCCTCCCCTGGTGCTGATAGCAGTTCTGGAATCATAGGGCCCCGGAGAGGGTCGGGAACTGATTTCAGGTGGCCCACGGGCATCCTTTGGTGTGTTGCTTGCTAACCGTTTCATGCAGGCATGGCGGCCGGGGTTTCCACACGCCCGTTAAATCTTTCAGCAAGGGCAGATTCTCTCGCCAGCTCAGCTCTCTCCTCTAAGGGAATCCTTCGGTTCTCACGTCTGGTGCAGGCTTCGCGTTTCCTCCTTTCTAGTGAGGTGTCAGGTTTGCATCTGTCACGTGAACGGCATCTCAGTGAGCAAGTATCCGATAAAGCGAAGCTCCTGGTTCGTCCCGGGACCAGGCCCGTAGCTGAGCCAGGGCGTGTGCAGGAGGCTGGAGAAGAAAGGCCCCCCTGCAGCCCAGGCCGCGTGCTGGGCTGTTGGCACTAGGGGCTGGGAGCCGGGAGAGCTTGCTTCCCCCCCCCTCCACAGGGCTCCCTCTGTCTTCGCACACTGAGCCATTAATGGCCGCCGTCGCCAGGGTCGGGCGGGGGGGATGCTCTTCACCAAGCGTAAGGCTAGGGAAAGGGCAGGCTGTGAGAGCACAGTTAGGAAGCGCACCACAGCTCGCACACCGTTCATTTGACACACGTGTCACTGCCGCTCAGTCTCTCCCAAGGACTGGCTGCCGAGGAGCTTGTGCTCATAAGAGCACATTTGCTGAGCGCCTGTTGTGCCCAGGGCCCTGCGCTAAGCAATGGACCTGGCAAGACACAACACAAAGGTAACACACGCCCCGCAATGAGATGAACTACAGGGCCAGCAACGCCGTGACGTGGTACATGGGGAGAGGGGGCGGCCTATGAGGGGGGCTGCCTAGGAATATTATTTCAGTGGTTTCAATAAAACCACTAGCAGCGATGAAGAAAATGGGATGTATGGCATCGAATGCTCGCCTCGGTGTGTCAGCCTAGGGGCACAGGCTGAGGTGCAGCAGTGTGCAGCTTAGAGCCCAGAAGGGTGAAGTTGAGGCTTGACCCCTGCGGTGAGTCAGCTCTGCTGTCCCCCCCCTCCCCCGCCCAGCCAGCACCCCTGGCACCATCCCCAGTGGGTAATGCTGATCTCCCTTGAGACTGGGGAAGTGACGGGTTAGTTAACTCATCACTTGTGGTCAATGTCCTGGTGTACTTTGAACGTGAGGGGAGCATTTTGTATATATATATATAATATAGTTGAAAAACACACACACATTTAAAAACACACATTTTACCATTCCACTCAGGAGCTAGAAGCCAAGTTTATTTGCCTAAAGATTGTATCATTTTGCCTCATTAAAATTTTTAGTAAAAAACGACAACAACAAACAATGCCCCTCTTCCTTGTTGGTTGTGCTATAGGCATTGAGGACACACACAGATGGAAGTGCCTACCGTCTCCTTCGGGCATCTTCCCTCGCTCCTCAGGCCAGTCCCCACAGCTACGGCAGGAGGCCCTGCTCCCAGCCCCGGGAGCAGTTTTGCACAGTTTATCCCACTGCCCTCTGACTTTCCTCCACTTGATTATGAGGTCCCTGAGGGCAGCAATGCCCAAGCCCAGCTGGAAGAGGAAGGGCCTCTTAGGCCAAGGGAGTGGCATGGGAGGGGTCACATAGACAAGAGAGGAGCCTGCAGGAAGTTCCCTCTACAGGAAGGGACCATGCCAGGAAGATCCTGATTTACAGTGATGATGATTTCGATCTTTATCCAGGAGCTTTGGGGAGATGTTGAAGGATTTTGAGCAGGGAGATGATATCCTTGACTCTACCTTTTACAAAGATCCCTTTAGCTTGGGTTGGAGGAGGGATTGAGGCAGGGGTAGGGGGCTAAGGGGATTAAAAGCAGAAGGTAGTGCAGAGGCTATTGGGGTCTGGGTGAGAGATGTTGAGACTTGAGCTGTGGCATCAACGTGGGAATAGAGAGGAGAGGACAGATTGAGAGCTCTGTCGGGCAACTGAGTCCAAGGTGATTGCGATTGTGCTGTGCGCTGGGACTGTGCCAGTCCTTGGCAATAACAGATGGCGCTGCCCTCAAGGAGCTTGATGTAATGTGAAATGCAGACAATAAACATCTACAGTAGAGTATGTTGAGTGCTACAGCAGGGTAGGTATGGGATAAAATGGAAGCACGCAAGAGAGGAACCTGATTTTTTTCTTGGAGAGTCCAGGAAAATTAGGGCCACTGGAGTAGGGAATACAGGGGAAATAAGTTTTTGTATGAAGATAATGAATTCAGTTCAGGACAAGTTGAGTTTGACACACTATAGGCCACCCAACGCCTGGTCAGTAACTGAAGTGCTTACTCATCCAGCACCTAGAGAAAGGTGAGGCTGGAGATTTTTTTTTTAATTGGCTGCAGGATCTTAGTGCCCCAACCAGGGATCGAACCCGTGCCCCCCGCAGTGGAAGCGTGGAGTTCTAACCACTGGACCCTGGAGATTTTTATTTCAAGGTTATCAGCATCTAAGAAGGATTCTAAAACCACAGAGGAGTAGGGGAGACCACCCAAAGGATTCCAAGAAATAGCAACTGAAGAAGCAGAAGGAGAGCCAGAGGAGAGAGCAGTCGCAGAAGTCGAAGGAGGTTTTAGGAAAAGAGGAGGGCACAAAAGGTTCACACGCCACGCTGAGGTCAAGCAAGATCTGGAATGTTTCCGTGGGATCTGACATTCAGGAGGTCAGATGAGGTGACCTTGGGGAGAGCAGTTTCAGGAGAGTCTTGGGGTCTGGAGGTTTACAGGCAGCTGAAGGATGAGTGCAGATGGCTAGTGTGCACTAGTACTTACTTGAAGCTCGCCTGTGAAGGAGATGAGAGATGACGGGGGCTGGACCACGGTGTGAGGGTAGAGGGAGGTTTGTTTCTTTAATATGACATTTATATACAGGGAGGCCAAAGCCAGCAGAGGAGGAGGCACAGAAGGTTGCTTTGAGGCACGATCACTGTCCTCTTCCCTCATACTTGTGTCCCCTTGACCTTCTGCAGTCCTTCAGCATTCTCTGAGCATATTGGGTGCTGTGGAGGGAAAAAGAAATAGACGGTTCGCTGACCCCAGAGGACCTTATTCTCGTTTTCTCTCATTCTCTGACCAGATTGCAAGCTCCTTTAGAGCAGGGGCTGTGTCTTGTCCACTGCTGTAGCAGCAGGATCTAGCATGAGTATCAGCACATAGTAGATGCTCAGTTAGTATTTGAGACTATGTCTATTCTGTTATAATAAAAGTAGTGAGTAACTATCTTAAAAGAGTTGTTTGCTGAGATGTCAGCAAAATATTAGGGTTTGTTTTCAGCTCTTCTCAGTTCTTCATTATTTTGAATAATTTAACCCCTTTCTCACCAGGCAGTTCTGCTCGTCTTGATTTTTGTCCTCAGAAAGAGAATAAAATTGACAGTTGAACTTCTCCGAGTCACAAATAAAGCCATCAGCAACTCTCCTTTCCTGCTGTTCCAGCCACTGTGGACGTTTGCCATCCTCATTTTCTTCTGGGTCCCCTGGGTGGCCGTGCTCCTGAGCCTGGGAACTGCAGGTAAGGGCAGTGGGAGTGGGGTCCGTCACCCTGGAGTCGTGCACAGAAGGCCTCACCATTCTGGAACCATTGGCCTGTTTTTGTAAGGACCAAATTTCCCATGCAGCTAAAGGCATCTGATGCCAACAGTGCCTGGGTCTCTGTCATGGGAGAAAAAGCAGGAAATTCTTTTTCCTCTTTTGTATCAGTATGTGAAAAAAAGAACCCAGGGAAGACCCTGTTAAAACGTTGTGCTCAAAAGAACGAGCTTAAGTTTAAAGCAAGTGGGCACAGATGTTCACACTGCTTTGCTCCTGAGAAGACAATACTACCCTCCATTCTGCTGTCATATCTATACAGTGGTTTTCCACCAGAGATATTCCTCAGAATCAGCTATGGTGCTTTACTAAAATACAGATGCCTGGGCCCCATCCTCAGAGATTCTGATTCACTTGGTTTGTGGTAGGGTTATGTTTTTTTGGATCCCTGTAAGAGAGCAACCACATTCTAGAACAGTGCTATTCAAAGGGTTGTCTGACACCGGATAAGGAGCTTATGCCAGAATGTATATCCCTCCATCACTTCCTCCGTCAAGAAAGTCTTGCTGTGAAAAAAAAAAAAAAAGTCAGCAGAATGAGACGATAGGCCTAGTGATGCAGCTGACCTACCTTCTGGCACAAGCTCCTTATCTCACTGTGGACTAATCACACACAGGGTGAGCCCAGGCCACTAGTCTATGGCCCCCACTTTGAGTGATACTGCTCTAGATCTTCTCTCACTCACTCCTCGATTTGATTTAGTTAAGGCCCAAACTCATACTCTGATGTGAGTACAAAAGAGTAAGTTGCTTTTGGAGACTGTCACCAGGCAGATAAGAACCACAGCAGATGTCAAAGCAACAGGCTAACATAACTTCTTAATGTTTATCGAGTTTATTCTGTTCCCTGTAGGCTCCAGTTGTATATGTAGGAATAGCTACATGTAGTAGGTTCTTAGTAAACTAGGTTCTCTTACCTCTCTTCTGGAGTCACCTGACCCCATGGAGATTACTTCAAGATGGGCAGCCAGCTCTCTGGAGGTCCAAGCCCTTGAAAGCCCATGTTTCCAGCTTAGAGATGCTCTAGGGACAGTCTCTTCTGTCGGGGGTCTCTGGAAGCTTGCTGAAGGCCTGCCATGCACTTCCGATAATTATCCAGCAGGGAACCTTGTTCAAACAGGTACAGGAGAGTAATCAATCAGGATGAGGTTTGTGTGAGAGTGACAGAAACCTCAAAACAGTGGCTTAAACAAGATGACAGGCAATTTCTCTCTCATGTAAATGAAGCCCACAGGAGGAGACCCCATGCCAGCATGGGCTGCCAGAGGTCACAGACCCACGCACCTTTTTTCTTGTTGCACAGCCTACCACTTGCTTCCACCTCAGAGCTGAAATAGACACTCGAGTTCCAACCACCCTGTCTTATTCAGGCTATGAGGAAGGTAGCAGGGAAGTCATGACAACACTTCCACCTACACCCATTGGCCAAATCCCAGTTACATGGCAACTGCTATGTGCAAGGGGGGACAGGAAATGTCATTTCGTTGGTGGCGGCCATGCACAGCCTAAAAATGAGAGGTTCTGTTACCAAGAAAAGATGAAAGAACAGAAATTGCAGGACAGTTGGAAGTCTTAACTAGGGCAACACTGAACAAGCATCTTCCAGCTCATTCCCTTGACGTGGTCTTAGTCCTGGCGGAAAGGGAAGCAGTGGCCTCGGTGCCTGCAGGAAAGCAAGCATTTAATGAAAATTTCCCAAATTCTAGGCTCTGCACTAGGTGCTTTCTTATGTTCTCTCCTTTAAGTGTCGCAACCCCCTTCCGATGCCTGTGTTGTCATGTTCAAGTTACAGGCAAGAAAACTGAGGTTCTGAGAAAGCAACTTGCTGAAGGTCCAGCTGCAAAGTGTGATGGCTCTTACTGACGCCAGAGCTCTAGAACAGAACCTGTGCTCTTTCCACTACCTCGCATGTCCCTTGTGTCGGGGATACAAAGCTAGGAGATCAAATGAGGCCTCAGTTTTGTCTGTTCGAGTTGAAGCCGTATTGTGACCACAGCAGCTGGCCGGCGAATGCAAGCTGTGCCTGTAGTGTGGTGTTTGGGACCTGCGGCCAGACGGCAACATGACAGGGCCAGAAGCTAAAGCCAGATCAGGCTGGGAGTGAGGTGTGGCAGGAGGTGGCAGGGCTTCACGCTCTGGTGGTGGACTGTGGTGCTGGGCCCTCGCCCTAAAGAATCACAGAGGAGGGCTTCCCTGGTGGCACAGTGGTTGAGAGTCCGCCTGCCGATGCAGGGGACGCGGGTTCGTGCCCCGGTCCAGGAAGATCCCACATGCCGCAGAGCGGCTGGGCCCGTGAGCCATGGCCGCTGAGCCTGCGCGTCCGGAGCCTGTGCTCCGCAACGGGAGAGGTCACAACAGTGAGAGGCCCGCGTACTGCAAAAAAAAAAAAAAAAAAAAAAGACTCACAGAGGAGAGGTGAGGCGCCGGGAAGTACAGCTCAGGACCAGGGACCAGGGAGGGACCTTCCTGCTCCAGCCTCCAGGGCACAGCTGCCCGCCCCGCTGTCGTTACGGGCTATGAGTCTGGGTGAAGGGAATTGTCTCTGTGGTTAAACCCTCAGTGATTTGGAGCAGGACACGTTCTTTCGTTCTTTAATGCACAGACATTAGGTGAGCACTGGGGGGACGAGGCCCTGGCAAGGCTCTGGGGAAGAGTGGTGGCCTCTCCCCACGGTGTGGATGGCAAAGGCTGATGAGCATCGCAAGAGGAGAAATTCGGGGAGCTATGGAGCACCACAGTGAGGCTCCAACCCCCTTTGCGAGTCAGGGAAGGCTTCTCAGAGGATGGGCTGGAAATTACCAGAAGATCGGAAAGTACAGAGAGGCAAAGGGGATTTAGTGGGGTCATGTCCGAGCACAGGAGGGAACCTGCTCACAGGGGATAAGATGAGAGCTGGTCCTGGGAGTTGGGGATATAGTTGGAGAGGAACACGCCCCAGGGCCAACTCGGGGGTGAGCTGCTAGCAGGACTGTCCTTAAGTTCCCCCACTTCGGCCCCAGCTGGGCCCAGGGCCTGGGGACATTAAACAGCCTCAGCCACAGGACTGAGAGGAGGGGCCGGGAGAGAGTGGGCTGCTCCGTAGGGCCTAAGGCAGCGCATCAGAGGGTCACATATTAAAGCACAGCCCTTCTCTATCTGTGGAAGGAGGAAAATGAGCAAAAGTGAGAGGAGCTGAAGGGCAAGAAGAGGAAACCGGGTGCCCAGGACCTACTGTAGGGGTCTATGGGCAGGTTGATGTTCGGCTTCGCAGGAGAGGGTGTCGCACAGAGCGACTGCCTTCCCCCTCCCCCAGGGCCGGGCGTCATAGAAACCAGACCCGCCGTCCCCTTAGGCCACGTGCCTCTCCTTTCCACTCACCTGTGGGCCGACCCAGGTGCACAGAACTCCCTTTGACTTCAAAGGCCTTTTCATGCAGGGCCCGGACGATGGGCTCTGGGCCTGGGCAGGTCATCTGCTGCTTGTTTTGATCTTCAGCAGATGCCCAGGTGATCCGGGTGGTGAGAGATGCCTGCACAGCACCTGACTGTCTCATTTCATGTCCCTCAGGAAGTCCCAGAACCCTCAGGCTCTCTCTTCAGTCTCCACCCAATGTTCCCAATGCTGTGAGGTATCCTCAGTGGGTAAATACTGTAAGACTTTTATTGTGTCAGATGATTGAATGAGTTAATATATTTATGTGTAAAAAACAAAAGAAAATGCAGAAAAAGTGAACTTTAGGTTCATCATTTTTTGCCATTTTTTTGATGAGCTATTTCTCTGGTGACTGTTAATCAGTCTCTTAACTAGTTGACAAACTCTGGCTTGTTTGAGGATTGTTTCAGTGGAGCATAACCAGGCCCTCAGTAATGACAGTAACGAGTCAGTTGGGACTTGTCTGCCACCAGCAATGTGACAGTGACTACTAAATCCAGTGAAAATAGTAGTTACAGGAAAATGGAAATAACCTTGGGAATCCAGTAGGTGCAGTTGGCAGGCTGGAAAGAGCCCAGCTGATCTGATGACCCCCAGTTACCATAAGGTGGTTGGGATGCCCCACAGTCGGAACAGTAGAAGAAAGAGGCCCATTTGGGGAAGGGGGGGCTTTCTCTCCCAGTGGTACTGCAGTTAGAAGAGGTCATCGCAGGGGTGTGCTCAGCGTGCTTAAAGGCAAAAGACCATGCTTGGAAAGGAGGCAGCAAGGTCAGACAGAGGGTCTCCAATCAAGGGACCTGGGATCCAGGATGGCTCCAGCCTTCCTTGTATGTTAATCCTCTGGGCTTCCTGTTTTCCTTTTATGCAGTGGAAAAATGGTGCTTTCCCCAGGCTGCCTCATAATGATGTTAGGAGGCTGAGATGGGACCAGAGCTTTGCTCTGCAGATAAGGGACAGTATGTGTTCCTTACATTAGGAACTAATGTCAACTAGACAATGTCTAGTACTAGCTTCAGCTTTGTGGTCTATTCTCTACTCTGCATGGTATATTTGAGAACACAGTCTAAAAGAAAATTGTCCTTTTTTAAGTTATCAGAGATCTAGAAGATAATTGAAGTTATTTCACAAAAGTTTCCTAGTGGCCCAGTCCTGTCCTAAGAACAGGGGGAAGGGAGATTGCTCAGGAGAAGTTTAAAACAGCCCCTGCTTTTCAGAAGTTTACGGTCCCTGTGGGGAAATGTGAGGGAAAACAATGTCCATGAACATCTCGGTGCCTTTGCACCTGCTATGTGGTCTTTGTCTAGACTCTGCTCCTCTTCCTAACTTTCACCCCAACTTTTTCCCCCACACTTCATGGAGAACTAGTCATTATTCAAGATTTGTTTTGAGTAATATATTTCTTGGAAAATCTCCTATAAATTGCCCAGGCATACTTAGATATTTCTTCTTCATTTTTCCCTGCATTTTTTGTATTCTTCATTCTTTCAACGGATATTCATCAAATGCCTGCTAT